TTATTAGTTTTATTCTAAACATTCCATTTTTGGTTTCAGAGCATAAACAGAAATTACATTCTGATGCCGTCCAAAATGAAGGAAAAGATCAAGTTTTATCACACAGTAAGTTGGTTGATTGATCAACAATCTCTGTGGTGCTAATGTCATAATTCATCCATCTAGACTTCGAATGATGTTGTGATTGGAAACCATCATTTCATCACTGATGTAATTCTAAAATAACGCCTGTGATTTTCTGATAGTTCATAAATCATTTCCAAAGGAGATAAAGAATACCCATTTTTAAAATACTGAAATTGCTTCCTTGACACACTTACCTCCAGCTCTTGGAACAGATTATTTTTCTTCTTTTCCCAAGCCATTTTATTAGGACATAATCCAGACATCACACCATCCCAAGGTTCCATCCCACCGAGCAGTGTTGTCCCATTGCTACCGCTAAACACTGCTAACTGCCCTTCCTGGCCCTGTGTCTCAGCCTTTGCACCTTTTCCTTTCCTTTCTCCAGTCCTCATCACAAAGCCCCACATAGCAGATAGGGCGACCCTGGCTTCTCCTCAGTAGATCGGTGCGAATTCTGTTTATGTTAGAATTCGGTGTAAGAAGGGAAAACTGGGAAACAACGTGCTAGCCTTTTATCCCTTACCAGGAGACTATTCACAAACGTGTTGGTAGAAGCCTGGATGTTTTCTGAGTCCCCTTTATCAATTGTGTATCCCAAACAACAGCAACCAACCGGGACTGTGTGCGTGTTCACCCCTTCTTTGTCTATAGAGAAGGGAGCTGGGCGGCACTGAGGAGCTTTCCGGTGACGTTGGTGGTGGGATTCAGGCTTCACAGGAAGCTTGTAGGAAGATGCAAGCCTTGGCTATTGAGCAGACCGTCTGTGCCAGTTGCCCCCAGAGCCTGGGACAAGACAGATGTCCCCTCCGGCTGTGAGCTCTGGGCTGCCGATGAAGAGTGATCTAGAATCTTATAACTCCTCGGAGAGCAGGATACTTTACATACCCAATGCTCAATTCTTTTGTCTATGCCTCAGAAAATGCTGTAGCTTTGACTCCTCAAAGCCACCCAGAAAAGGGGTATAGCCCGATCCCCCCAAGTGATGGGTTGTATCAAAATATTAGCTGATCTTTTTTATTCTCCAAATGAAACTGGAGAGAAGAGGATCAAGCCTCCTGGGGATACAATTCGATTCAAACTTCCCCTCTGCCAGGCCCAAAGCCCTAGCTTTGCTCGCCTGCATTTTCTGAAGCCTAGCATCCCACTTTGGTAGCAAGGTTGCGGCACTTAGCACTTAATCTTTCCCTCAAAATGGACAGGTAAGCAAGTGGACACAAATCTATCGGCAAGTCCAGATTGTCAAAGTCCATGAGCGAGCGTTCATTACAGTCTGTGAAAACACGGCGGATGCCATGTTCCCTATGGCCGACAATCCGGGTCTGCGCCGACACCTCCACACCTTTCTTTAAGTGTCTGATAAAGTGGACATCAGCCGCTGCTCAGGAAATGCAGAGTGGTGGATGATGGGCTCTGGCGGGGCACCACCATGGGGAATTAGCCTTGCTCCCTAGAGGAGAAACTGGGCCAACAAGAGAGCAGGAGTGGGCCCGGCAGCTCGATAGAATGAGCAGGGAGAAGAAAGGGGCCCAGAGCTGAATCTGTGCCGAAGTGGAAAAGGGAAGAGGTTCTAGGTAAAAGGCGAACCTTTCGTCTTGCTGTTCGTAAAGCTCTCGGGCTGCTCTTGTGGTTTTGTTTCTCCACAGAGGCCCTCCCACACGCATTCCCTTCACATAGAACCAGCTTCCATACAGGAATCCAGTAAGCCAAGGTAGAGGGGAGCAAAACCAAAAAACAACCAGAAAACAAAATTCTAATGAACCAAAAGTTACTGATTTTTAAAAACAAACATAGTTACACCTTTCTGTTTTCTTCCTTTTACAGACTCTGAAGTTAACCCCATGGAACAGTAAATGATCAAATTATATCCAATATAAAGTGATTTGTTAGCAAAACAAATAGAGGCTGGTGAGCATCTGTGTTTAGGGAAGAATAACTCAATTCCTAGATAATAGGAAGTTGCCAATTAAGTAGCAGTGAGAGCACAAATAAATTGTCAGAATTCCATCGTTTCCTTGTGCCTGTGTTCATGCATATGTTAGTTTATATTTGCATTTTCTCAGAAAGAATTTGGTATAATTAGCTAATTTTTAAAAAATTATTAAAATAGAATTGTCAGTTGGAGTATCTTTGCCTGTACATGCTTCTGTGAGAACCTATTTTGACACACTGTGTACACTGAAGACTTGGGCCTTGGTGACCACGTTTGCTCAGATGGCCTTCAACCAATCACCTTGGGCCAGGATAGGCACACACTACTGAAGGAGAACCCATCAGATTCTCTCTCACAATTTGAACTGAGACACATGGGGTCCGAATCTTGTTTGGGGGACCCAGAGAAGCCTAGAAGTTCTGTCTGTGAGGTCTTCAGAGCTGACAAGGTCACCCTCTTCATGAGACCTGGTCTGCCCTGTTTGTTTGTCCCATGTCCTTGTTGGAAATATCCTTACAATAAACCCCACTGTTCTTTTAGCTTAGATATGGCTTGACTAAATGAACATTTGAAAGAGAAGGATAGTTCTTTTACCATATAATGATCTGCTGTAAGGAAAAATTACAGTCTTTCATTACAGGGTAGTAGCCAAACCAGTGTGCTCATATGTTTTCAAGCTAATAGGACCCTTTATAAATGCCAATTAGGAATTTTTGAAAGGCCAGCAGTCATGTCAGAAAACTGCTGATACCTGTGCTTTCTCTGTATTTTTCAGCAACGCATAAAGTACAAAATCACCCCGGGAAATTTCCGATGCTGCTCCACGGCTTCTATGCCGTCACCATAGAATGGGTCATTTCAAAGTCACAGCTGACTGCTGCTTGCTTCCAGAGTCAGCACCAGCATGGGATGTCATGGTGGAGGATCTTTAATGTCGGTGTTAAGAACTTTTGAGTGAAGCTGTGTCCCTTCATCCTACCACCTGCCCTTGTGAATTCCTCCCCCAAAAGCATGTGACCCCAATGACCGCTAGTTGAACGGGGAAGCTAGTGGGGCTTAACCCATAGCCAGGCAAGTGGCAGTTGCCCCTTAACTGATAGGGCTTTTTGGCAAAATTGAGCCAGATTAGAAAATGCAGCTTTGGCCATGATGCCCAAGCAAAGCCCCCTGCTCTGATACTCAACTTGTTACCATCATGTACCCTAATCCCTAACCACTCAGAACCCGGTGGAAATGCTGGAGCAGGGAATATCCATGAACACACACCACCTTCCGTGGCAGTGGCCCTGGGCTTTATCAGGAGTGCTCCCAGTGGGTGTCAAATGCTGACCAAGGAGGTGAACAGCTTGCTTTCCAATAGGCTCACCTGTGGGCAGGAACTGGGGAGAAATACCGGAGTGTGGGCAGAAGTGTCCTCCTCTGTAAGGACACTAGGTCACATCCAGCCCCACCCCAGCAGTCTGTCCTTCCCAGGATGGCTGTCACCTATCACTGTTCACACGACCATAGGATGACCAGGAATCTCTAGGATAGATTCCCACAGAGAAACTGAGCCAATTGATTTGAATCCCTTTTGTGTTAGGCAGGATTCTCTGGAGAAACAAAGCCAGGACACTTAGGATTACATATATGTAAAAGGATAGGCTTATATAGAAAAATGAATATAACAGCTAATTAGCGTACACAGTAGTATAGAAGGCTCAGTTCAGCTCACTTTTGTGGAACAGTGAATGTACTGAAGGTCCTTCAACTCATGCGGGCTGCCGGTCCAAGGTCAAGGAAGCAGACAGCAGAGTTTGCCCTCAGCTGAAGATTTGTGTGAAGGTGTCAATTTGACAAGGGATGGTCTGTGGTAGTTACACAATTTCATGTCAACTTGATAAATAAATACAGGAGTGGAGTCTAGCTTGTCAATCAGGTCACAGCCTAATGATGCCTCCTTGTGGGTGTGGCCTTCTCATGAGGATTCTGGGAATTTCCTCTCTTTCTCCCTGGATGTGG